CTGATAGCAAAATGCCCTGGCTCAAGTGACCAAGACCGGTCCTGCTAAAGATGACGGGCCCCGGATCTCTATCCTGTGAGTCTAGCTGGGCCCTCTGTCTACAGAAAATTAACTTGAGTCACTTAACCTTGGTGTTGTGATATGTGGCCGGCTAATGTTGGCCTCGTTGGCAGGAATGTTGAAGGTTGGCTATTAAATGATTAAAATTCACTTTGCAACTATAGAGTGCTATGAAAACATATGCTGAAGGATGACTTTTAAATGGGACTGTGGACAGCCACAAGGAATGTGGGTTTTAGAGCCCTCAGCCTTTCAATAATTGACTCAGTAAATAAGTTGGCACTGTCTTAGACTAAGTAACAATGGGAAATTCAGTGACCAACGCACTGCCCTTTCTAAATAGGTTACACAAAAGACTTGGGCCTCATTTTCCTCCTGGGAGCCCACGAGCACCGGGCTAAAGAAGGGTAAATGTCACAGTAGTGAACGCTGTGGGCACAGGCCTTTCCTGGACAGGGGAGGCAGGCCTTTACATTACTCTCTTGACCCAGTAACGCAGAGACCTAGGACAACAGTTAAAAGGTGACGAAGGCACAGGGAAGGGGTCCTCCCTCTTATTCACTTTTCTGAGTGTGGCTTTGAGCATGGGTGATGTGAGGTCTCACTCACCTTTTCTGAAGATCCAACAGCCCTAGACCTGCCTTGTGATAGGCCTGACATGTCATTGACTCACATAATAAATATTTATTCAGCATTTTCTGTGGCCAGCTCCATAGAACTGAGAGGCTTGCCCTAAGGCTGCTGACCTGGAGACAGGCAAGGAGAGACCATCAACAGCAAGCCTGGGAAAAAGGGAGAGATGGCTGACAGGCAATGGGCAGTGGGTGAGGTCAGTAGGTCTAGAGGTCTCATAGAGGGAGGGTCCTGTAAGAGGAGAGCAGAGAAAGCCAGTCAGGCTCAAAGAGACACACATATGCCAAGGCTTCAAAGTACCCATGGGGTATCATTAGCAGGTGTTTGGGATGAGATGAGGGAGTATTTCCATGTTGGATTTGATGGCCCTTCCTGAGCAGCAGTCAGGCATGTAACAAGATGTAGGGTGTAGGGCACAGCAAGTTGGCCAGGAGGAAGCACACCCTGAGGAAGGACCAAACTAGGGCCCCATGAGTTTAGATGGGGCAGGAAAAGAAGCCAGCAAAGGAGACTGGAAGGTGGTCCTCAACAGGGAGAGGGAGGAGGATAGACAGGAAGGTTGTGAGTGCCAGAGCAAGCCTCTTTTCCAGGTGGCATCCAGGTATTGGCCATGTTGGAAGGTCAGCTGATATTTAGCTGGGGGACCTGCCACTGAATCAAGAGGCCAGTGCGAGCTCCATGATGGGGTCTTGGTGTTGGGCATGAGAAGCATGACCTGTGGGTATGTTGGGAAGAGACCCCTGCAGACTTTTCAGACAAGGTTGGCAGTAAAGGAACCAGAGAGATGCCAGGAGACAGAGGGGTGTAGGGTGAGGAGCCAAGTCACCCAGCCTGCCTGTGAACTGACGGCATCACTGCGGTGGGGTGGTCATGAGAGGGATAGGCAGCTCAGTCCATGGATGTGCTAAGGAGGGGCAGAGTAGCTGCCCGATGCTGGTGGCCTGTCAGCTGGACAGGAAGATCATAGGTTGCAAACTCCTCCTCAGTAAGGGGCAAGTGTGGTGGCTGGTGGTGAGGACAGAGGGTAGGAAAAACAACCAACATCTTTGAGTGACAAGGATGAACATGTGAGGAGCCAGGAGGTCTGGCATTCAGTGGGTGCCATGGGTGTGTGAGTGGGATGTTCTCCAGATTTTCTCTACTTCAGGTTCGGGGCAGGCTCAGAGCAAATAAATAGCCCAGGCCATCAGTTCTGGGGCCACCTGGAAAGTGCAGGGGACAGGGAGACGTGAGGGGGATGCATGGGAGAAGCAGAAGGAAGAGGCAGAGGTGTGTGCATGCATGCTTGTGTGGGTGTCTGCATGTGCATGAGTGTTGGGGTGAGTGCTAATGACAGGTTGGGAGCAGCTGCAGATTGGAGGTTTCCATGAGGTCCTTTAAAAGTGAACTTTAGGTTGGGTGTGGTATCTCACACCTGTAACCCTAGCTTCTTGGGAGGCAGAGATCAGGAGAATCATGGTTTGAGGCCAGGCTGGGCAAAAAATTCTCAAGATCCCACTTAACCAATGGCTGGCACTGTGGTGTGCACCTGTCATCCTAGCTATTCAGGGAAGCACAAACAGGAGGCTCGTGGTCCAGGCCAGCCAAAGCATAAAATGAGACCCTGTCTCAAAAATAACCAATACAAGAAAGGCTGGACAAGTGGCTCAAGTGGCAGAGTCCTTGCCTAGCAAGTATGAGGCTCTGAGTTCAACACCCTCCCTTCCCCCAGCACTGTCAAAAAAAGAGTGGAGGAGTTTGGGGTGGGTGAGGTGTTTAGACTCTGATGTGGGGTGGTTATCGGTGATAAGAAGAATGAGTCTATGACAGGGCAGGGATGCTAAAGTGGGTGCTGGAGGACTCAAGGAAGGACACAAGATATGGGGGACAGGAGAATTTTGAGGAGGCTGAGCCTGTGTGGGTGAGTAGTGTCTGGGAGGAGAGGAGAGAGGCTGTCTCAAAGAAGGGCAGAGTCTCAAGCATGGCATCATAGGAGGTGGCTTGAGAAGACAGGAGCCCCAGGGGAGCCAGGGGCTACCTCCCCATCTTGGGGTACAAGGCAGAAAATGTCCTGAGGGGAGGGAGGGGGTCCATGCCAGTTCTTGAGAAACAGGTTGCAAGAAGTGTCAGGCCCCTACATTTCTATTAAGGGTATGATTGTCCATGTGGACTTGGTTAAGAAGAAAAAGAAGAGAGACAGTATTCTCCAGCTTGGGCTGCTTAAGCAACAGAATTTTATTTCTTACAGTTCTGGAGGCTAAAGTCCAAGGTCCAGTTCTGGCTGGGGTTGTCTCAGGGTGGGTTCCTGGCTTGTGAGGCGCAGTCTTCTAGCTGTGTGTGCATATGACATTTCTGTGGCAGATGGGGTGGGGAGCACTTGAGCTCTCCAGTGCCTCTCCTAAGGACACTGATCTCTTAGGTCAGTGAGGCCACCCTTATGACCTCACTTAACCCTAATGACTTCCAGATAGGCTCTATATCTCCTCATATAGTCACAATAGGGGTTGGAGCTTAAATCTATGAATTTGGGGACAATTCACGCCACAGCAGACACCTATTGAGTGAAGTAGACATTGGTTTGTAAGTCAAATGGATTTTGGTGCAATCAAGCTAAGTGATTTGTGGATATATTGGATCCTTGGACCCACTGAGCCTGCCCAGCCAACTGCTGCCCCCTCAACCCCACAAGTAATGTCTGTTTTAATGGAACAAGAGCACCTCTTGGTGCTGCTGAACACACACAGACACTTGCTGGAGACTGTTGGGAGGGTGAAGGCTGGTGGGTCTCTCTTTTTTCTCTGTGGGCACCGTCCACCTCTACATCTGCACCTACAAACCTCTCTAGAGTGACTCTGCCTAGCAAGGTGGGCACTACACACTGGACATGTGGCCCTGCACGTTAAGATGTGCTTGCAAGTATCAGCTACCTTGAAAGCCTTGGTGAAGAAAATCTCATCAACTGTTCAATACTGTTGCACATTGTATAATATTTGTGTCTGTTGGGTTAAATAAAATGTGTTGCTAAACTTAATTCTGGCTGTTACATGTTACCTTTAAAAAATGAAGTTACCAGAAAATTTAACATTACAAATGTGGTTCCCGTGAATCCACAGCACCGTTTCCTTCAGGGCAGATGAGGCCTCAGTGGCTCAGATGCAGCGGTGCAGCCGTGCAGCCTTTCCAGTGGCCTCCAGTAGGGAGGGACCTGGCCACAATCTGCCCCTGGCCCCTTCTACCCTACTGTCAGGACTTCATTTCTAGACTTCCACATCTGTCTGCTGCTACTGCCCCATCCAGGGCGTCTCTTTCCCTAGCCCCGTGAACTCTGTGTGGTGGTTAATTAAATTCTTTGGAACTGGCCATGTCCAGCACAGATCCAGAGAGCTGCCCCTGGGTGTGGCATGTGGGTAGCAGCTGGCAGTCCAAGCACCCCAACTCAGGGCTTGCTTCTTTAAAGTTTGTTTCCTTTTACTGTTTATTTGGCAGCTACAGCCTGCTGTTACTTGTAAGTAAAGTCATGCATCAGGAACTGGGTGGACGTGTTAGGAAGTTGCAAAATCCATACACTTGGCTTGCGGGAGGGGCTGGGGTGCAGACCGGGTTCCCGAGTAGGACGAAGCTCCTCCCCCACCCGCTGGGACCCCGCCTCCTCCCCGCCCATTTCCTCTTCCAACCCCACCGAGAGCCGGGTCTATGGCTAGAGAACAGGACCGCCATCCGCAAGCGGGACCGAACCGAAGTCCCAGGCGTCCCATCAGAGCGGCAGGGGAGCCAACGGCTCCTTTAAGAGGCTCTGTTGGAACCGGGCCGTGACGTCATGGGAGAGCGGAAGGCGGAATCTGCGCGCAGCCGCGGCGCGGGGGCCGGGATGGGGCGCGGTGCACTGAGGCTAGGTCTGCCTGATTGACAGGAGCGAGCGGAGGAGCAACCCCGCCCCCCCCGCAGGCTCCACCCCACCCGCCGGCCCCGCCCCGCCCCGCGCAGGCTCTGTCCCAGCTCCCACGATCAGATCCCGCCCGGCCCGATGGCTCAGCGCAGGCTCCGCTACATTCTCAGGCTCCGCCCCCGTCACGGCCTCGCCCCGCCCACAGGCCCGGCTCCTTTAAGCAGATCCCTACCCAGCCCTCCCACTCCGAGGCCTTGCTCCGCCTCTCAGGCCCCGCCTCCGCCCTCCGCTCCGCCCAATCCAGTGTCGACCGGGCCTTCCCCGAGGCTCCGGCCCCAGAACCGCCCTCAGGCCCCGCCCCCGGAGGCCCCGCCCCCTGGAGGGGCGGGACTTGTCCGAGCCCGAGTCGGCGGCGGCGGCGGCTGCGGGGAACTTTCCCGGCGGGTCTAATGGCTGCGCGCGGGCCGCTGTGAGGCGCGGCGGCGAGCGGGCGCGGGGCCGCGGAGCAGCGAAGAGCGAGCGAGCGCGAGGCCGGAGCCCCGGCCAGGCCCGGCCCGACCCGCCGAGCCCGCGATGCTCCCCGGGGCCGCCCCCCGGCGCAGCTGACGCCCCGCGGCCCCGCGAGACCCGGCCCGGCCGGGCCCGCAGGAAGCGGCCGCCGCCGCCCAGCCCAGCGCCCGCGCCGCCCGGGCACGATGGCGGGGAAGGTGGCCGCCCCGGGCACCGCTGTGCTGCTGGTCACGGCCAACGTGGGCTCGCTCTTCGACGACGTAAGTGCCGCACCGTCGGCTGGGGAGGGGCGGCCTGCGGGACCAGGAGCCCTCTGACCTGGGCTTGCACACCCTCAGCCCCACCCGGGGGTCCTGAACCCCAGCTATGACACCCCGATCCACGACACCCCATTCACAGGCGGGGCCCCGGGCCAGGACTCTAATGGCCCCCATGCGCAGCCTGCGACCCCAGGCCAGGAGATCTGGACCTCGACTCCAGAGCTGGGGGCTTCAAGCCTGGAAACCCCTAAGCCCCGGACCCCCGACCTTGACGGCTCAAGCTTGGGACCTAGAGCAGGTCCCAGTCAACTAGGGTCTGTCCTGGAGCCTAGACCCCAGGCTCCTGACCCTTACCCCTGATCTTGGGGCTCTGGACCCCTTGTCTGATTCCTGAACCCAGAACTTGAAGACCCAGCTCTTGAACTCTTGTCCTAACCTAGACTCCAGAAACCGTCTGTGGCCACCAAACCTCCACCCCAGCCCAAACTTCCGAGTCTTGATGCCTGTATCTGAATTGTGATCCCGGATCCCCAGAACCATGGTTGTCACAACCACAAATGCTAGTCCTTGAACCGTGGTCCCTTGTCTCTGGCCTCCAAACTGTGATCCCCAAACCAAATCACAAAACCTAACTCTGGGACTCCTGACTTTGAACCCTAGTCGCCAACACCTGTCTCTGATTCTGCATACCTGAATTCTGGCTCTAGAATCCCAACCTTCAAATTTTTGTCTCTTGCCCCCCAACCTAGTCCAGCCTGACCCTGATCCCTGAATCAGCTTCAGCACCTCACCCTGAACCCTGTCCTGGGCCCCTGGACCTGGAAACCTGGCCTCTAACTCTGCTCCCTGTCCCCATCTCTGAATCTCCCAAACTAGTGCCACTCAATCCTGAACCTTAGTCCCAAACCCCATCCCCTCTCCATCTGAGTCTGAGGTGTAAGGCACTATCATTTTGCCATGTCACTTGTGATCCTCTTAGTTCTTAGTGGGAACTATGTTGAAAGCCCTAAAGGACTTTATATTCCTTGTTTATTAAAGACAAAGGTGCTGAGCAGTCCAGAAATGGGATGCTGACTGCCTAAGGCCTCTTTACCTTCAGTCCCTAGTCCCGCCCAGGAACCCCAGGGGACAGGGGCAGCTCCTTTGGGAAGCAGAAGGGAACTGAGGCCAGGGGCACTGGGAGCTCACCAAAGCAGGCTGATGCTGACCTAGTTCAGCATTGCAGCCACGGTGCCACCCCACTGTTGGTACTTAAACTGCCAACCCAAATAAAGCAGAATGTGGCTCCAAGTGGCATGCTTGTTTAAGAAGAAAGGGTAATGTCACAGATGGAGCTGGGGAGCCACGTATTTCCTTTTCTCCCTTCCCTAGGTGAACAGTTGGGGTAGTGCCAGGGCTGGGAGGTGTGTGCTGTCGCTATAAGCTTGATTTAGGTTTCAGGGAGAGGGTCTTGTTTCCTGGCTGGCAGCAAGCATGGGAGAGGAGTTTCATTAAGCTGAATTCACACACCAACTAGGTTGGGTTTTTATTAGCAAAAGGCAGGAGCTATCTTTGTGTTTTGTTATCTAACTTCCAGGTACCTGCATGTTATGCTTACCTGCTGGAGAGGCGCTGCTTGCCCTCAGACTTTGTTATGGACAATTTGATGTAGTTGCACGTGTGGTCATTCTGTACAAGAGCCTGTATGGGTGTGTGCCTGTATATTTAGCAGTCTATTCTAGGCCTTCCAGTAACATGTCACTGTAACATGGTTTTGTTCAGATGATTCAGATCCGTTAGCTGTGGCTTCAAAGCCTCAGAAATGTCAGGAAAATTAGGCACGGTGGGGCATTTTAGTCTCAAAGGGAAAAGAATTTTGCTGTGCAAACATTCTTTCCAGTAATCTTTGATTCTGAGTTCTAGAATTTTTGTTGTGTTTTAACTGTACACACATATTTCTTTCTGTTGGTATTAAAATGGTAACTTAATTTAGATCTTAATTTTTATTTTTCTTAAAAGAATATATGGGATTTTGCACTGTTTGAATGTAGAAAGAGATATGTTTTGGTAAATAGTACATAGGTTAATCCTGAAGGGTGATTTGAGGTTCAGAGCTAAGTGGAAAAGCATTGCTCCATTTCTGAATGTGTGGAGTTTTGTTCCCAGGGTGGGGCATCCCCTGTGGTGTGGCAAAGCATTCCCAGGTCTCCTTCCTTGGTTGGTATTTGGGTTATGCAGATGTGGGATAGAAGCCTGAGTGGAGAAAGTAGTGAATTCTTATGTGAAGGAGACTTAATTCCTTAGTTTATAATAGGTTTCAGAAGCTGCCTGTGACTCTTTTGGCCTTTGTGTGACGTGAATCCATGCTGACAAATGTACCCCTCCCATGATGTGGCCAGAGGAATTCTGTCCTGTGGGAAGCAGGCTCCGCTCTGTGCTGGTGCCTTTGCTGCTTCTGAGGGAGTCCAGTTCAGAGGACGAAGGTGTCCAGATTTGAAACAGACATTCCCACTGTGAAGGACACTTTTCCTTTTATGAACAAGTGATGGATACGTGGTTCATTTCTGCTTTTGCAGTTTTGTAAGTTTCCCCTCATAAGCTCCCTCCTTCCATCCCAGAGATGGCTCCTCTTAATACACTGTGAGTGTAATTTTTTTTTTTGGTAGTGCTGGGGATTAACCCAGGGCCTTGCACATGCATATACTCCACCACTGAGCACCACCTGAGCCTACAGATGTAAATCTTTCTCATTTGCTATGTCCTTGACATGTGGAATCTCCAGAACATCTTGTTCAGCCTGCTTTCTTCTTCATCAGCACTCCAGGCATCCTTGCGTCCAGCAGGATCGCTGGTCTGCTGTTACTAAGCTATCCTGGTGTCCAGCACCTTTGACCTTACAGACAGTGTTGCCATGAATATGTCACAAGATACCAGCCCTCAAACTTTCATGTCATGTTCTTAAGAATCATGGAGGACTCCTAAGAGTTCTTGTTCATATAGGCTGTGACTAACATTACCCACCACTATTAGAAGTTGAAACTGTCCAGCAGGGCATGCACAGCGACTGTGGAGAGAAGGGCCTCGCTTCCATCTCAGAGGGGTGGCTGGGGTTCTGTGTCCTAGATCTTGTGCTGTAACTTTCATTTCTGTCTTCACATCTTGGACCTTAGTTTTAGGGGTGGGGGAAAGTTAAAACTGAAAATGTCAAGAACAGGCAGCCCATGCTGCATCAGCTTTCAGAATGATGGGTCAAGCACACCAAGTGCCCAGGAAGTGCTGTGCCCCTCAGGCGAGACTGAGGCAAGCCAAGTCACTCTGTAGGAAATAAGTTGTTCTGGCTCCATCACTCTCTGGAGAGGTATCCTCGGTCTGCACTCTTGAGGACCTCTGTCCTAGTTGGTGATCCTTCCAAATCTTCAGGAGTGTCTCCCAGGCTAGACCCCTGGAGCTCCCAGGTGGCCTGGGGCACCTGTGACTTTCCAGCTTTATGGACATGACTGCCAGATTGCCTTTGGCTAATGACCAGTTGGGCTCCTGCTGTCACTGCCCACTTCCCTGTGAAGGGATGACCAGTGGCCTGTCTTTGTTCTGCTCGTGTTTTTAACCAGTGCTGGCTGGTGTTTTGACCAGTGGTTTCTAGCGCTCAGCTCTTTACACTTTTATTAGAAGTGAACCAAGAAAGCAAAGGCTTGCAGACGTGCTTCAGAGCTCAGCCCCACCCTTACATGGTCAGGCTGCTTTGGCCCTTGGTCCTGCTACGTATTCAGAATGAGATGTCATTTGGATCTGGTTTCCCATTTTGCTTAGTCAACTCCTAAGCAGTCCTTTCCAGACAGACCTGGGATTGCAGAACCTTTGTGAGTGTGGACTCTGCATGAATCGAGGGCTTCTGGTGAGCAGGTGTTCAGGATCCATGGGATGGTGTGGGAGTTAAAGCTGCTGGGGGGGGGGTGAATTCTGAGTGGGCACCTCTGCTCACTTACCTCTCTCCCCTTTGCCGATTTTTTTCCATCAGTGTGGAAGGTAGTTTCTCTTACTATGACCTCCCCCTACCCCAGCTCCTGCAGGCCTGCTGTCCTTCTGAGCAGCCTTCATGACGGCAGTGTCCACTTTCCCTTCCCAGGCTGTGCTCCACACTTGTTCACTGTGGGACGCCTGCTGTCAGGGCTGTGGTCAGTTCCAGAACATTTATGTCACCTCACAAAGAAGCCCTGTGCCATTGGCCATTACCCTCATCTCCCTGAAACCCTAGCCACTAGTCCTCTTTTCACCTTTCTTTTCATTTGCATATTCTGGATGTTCATAACAGTAGACCCACTCACATGTGGCCTTTTGTGCTTGGCTTCTAGCACTGAACAAGGTGTTGTCAAAGTTCATGTACATCTCCTGTGTCGGTGCCTCACTCCTCTCTGTGCGTAGAGAACAGCCTATCATGTGAGGGGCCCCATTTTGCTTCTCCAGTCATGGCTTGATGGGTATTTGGGCCATTTTTGCCTTTTGACTGCTGTGAACATGATTGTGAATATTAGTGTACATGTCCATAAGGATGTGTGTTTTCAGTTCTGTGGGGTGTGTGCCTCCTGGTGGTGTTGGGTCCCATAGTAACTGTGTCTAACCTCTGGAGGAGCCACCACACTGCCTCTGTGTGGCTGTGCCATTTTACATTCCCACTAGCAACGTCTGGTTCCTCACATACTCTGCAGCACTCCTTGCTCTGTCTTTTTCTAAGGCTTTTCCTTGGCTTCCTGGACACCTGCATTTGCTTCTCCTTACCCATTTCTCAGTGTGGGTATGCCCAGGCCTGGCTGGTTGCCCCTCTCTGGCCACACTTGCTTCTGGGCCCATGCACAGAACCACAGGGGGATGAGTAAGGCTGAGATGGCTGTGTGCAGCATAGGGTGCTCCGGTCCACTGTAGACAGCTGTGCAGAAGGCTAGCACTCTCTTGGAGGAGGTTGGGGCTTGTCTGTCTCTATGTCCTTCTGTGGGAGTCTCTGTGTGGGCGCAAAGCATGAGGCTGCT